GAAACAAAGAGAATGTACGATGATGACAGATTGCCTAAATCTTTCGAAAAGTCCGTCTGTTCCATCTTACGACGGACAGAAGAAGAAGTCTGTGACACGATCAGGGTCAGCGGGGATGTGAGGCACATAAAATGGCACAAGCTCAACCGGGATACCAGCCTTATTCCTTTCGGTTGCCTGCCTTCCCAAGCTCACAGTCGTCTCACTGAGATCCGCGAGATTGTGCGACCTTACGTGTGCAACCTGTACGTCCTCGATTTGTGTGATCCCACACCCCTCTTAGACTGGCGAGAAGACGCTTTCGCCTCCTTGCAAGGCGTTCTCCAAACACTGTCGCCAACGCACTGGGCACTTGTGGTCTTCTTCCCCTCTCGTTGGGAACTCTGTTTCTTGAAAGGCATGACCAGGCTTAGCGTCCATCACGTSAGGACAGGGAAGTGGGTGCGCCATGCACAAAGGCAGGTCACTGTCTACGAAGGCAATATGCTGGTTGAGGAGTGTGATCGCATRTACGTGGTTTTCAATGGCGAGAACCTGGTAGACAACACAGTCGCCGTGCTCATGGTCCAAGTCCGGCCAAACACGTGGTGGCGGCCCGCTGGAAAGCTGTCTGTTCATCGGACCCATCAGGACAGGTTGTGGCCTGTTTCGACGTGGCGGACGAGGACAAGTTCCCTCATAGCCAGTGGGAGGACGGTGGCRTGACAAGTGTTCGTGGAGCTGCTTACGGGGTCAGGGAGCGGAACCCGTCTCATTTACTTGGTCTACTCGAAAACTTTTGCAAAGTTGGGCAAACTGTTTTTTTCTTTGGGAAGGCGCATGCGTCTGTCGTGTGGGAGTTCATGCACAATGGTCGGAACGTCATTGCGTTGGAGGACGAGGCGAAGATGATCGATTACCTTAACAAGTTTGTGAAGACACGCGTGGCAGACCCTCGCAACAATTGCTCTTTTGTCCAGACCACCGGTGAACGGAACTGGGATCCCAAACGTGACATGTATTGAAAATTGTCGGGGAACAAAAGGACGGAGGTTTGGGACTTCCTTTCCCAACCYGGACCGCCTGCTCAGACCGACCTCGAATGCAATCGACGGAGAAACCTGGTGTTCGGTGTGCTGAATGGTTACCACGATGCACCCAGGGAGTCTGTCTGGAATTTCCTGAGAAGGCTCGAGCACGTTTTCTTCTTGATGGCCGAACCGCTCACCCTCGAAAACTACAAGGCGCAGTTTGACGAGGAGAACCCTTTSGACGCTGAAGACATGGAGGAGTTGAGCGACTCCAAAACCTTCGATTTCGAGTCCATGCCACTTCCTCGGGTGGTTGCACAGGTCGGTGATGAAGGGGAAGGTGCTCCTTGGTGATATAGCACGTCCTCTGCCGGTTTGAAGCGTGTGTTTGAGCGCGGAACAGTCGAGGACCAATCGTCTGATGACGGGGAGGAAGAGAGAGACTATGATTACGAACCTTGTGACAAGCTCCCTGGGGACCATGATACCTGGGAGAATGACAGACTCTTCTTCTTCGGGAAGCATCACCGGTTCACGCCGGAGGATGTCTGGGGCCACAACGTCGTCTGGCACCCAAGGATATTCCAACCTGCTGTAAAGACTGGAAAGTGGGTTATGGCAATGAAGGAAGCCAATGGCAAGTAGAGTGGCATGAACAGACTGGGAGCGGGTCCATTTAAGAAAAAGGCGAGAGATGCTCTGGTGGAGCATTTGAGTGTTATGAACCCCGAAAGGAGCCTCTCGAACGTCAGTGCGTATGCAGACCAGAAGCTCCACGAGATGTACAATGACAAAATGTTGGAGTTTCGAGCGTCTTTCTACACACTCGAAACGACACCCTCTCGTGGCATTGACTGGCGCATGCCGCAACCTCTGTCGGGCGGTCAGCATCCGGGAAGCGGTGGAGGAGGAGACGAAGGAGACGGCGGAGGTGACGGAGGAGACGGCTCACAATTTGCCGGAAAGGGGTCAGGCGAAACATCGTCGGAAGAAAAGGCGTCCAGCGGAAAGGGGTCAGGAGGAAAGGGGTCGGGCGGAAAGGGATCGGGCGGGAAGGGGTTGGGAGGAAAGGGGTCGGGCGGAAGTGTAGAACGTCCGGGAGTCCCGAGTATAGGGAAACTGACAGCCACTGCGTAGGGAGTCGAGATTCCGACATGCGAGACGTGGCCACCCTGAGGTCTAATCAAGTGCGAGTAGATTCGCACTTTTCTGCGAGGACTTTGTTTCCTGATGCCGAG